TTGTTTAGCTTATACGTAAACCCGGCACTGCCTCAGGTTTTCCATGGTTTGAGGCAGGGGATATTGCAACCCACCCCTGGAGATGCTTGGGGGTTGAACCTGGGACCTTCTGCATGCAAAGCAGATGTACTACTACTAAGAAAAGAGAGATTTTGTGCTGGCTGTCAAGGAATGGTTTATTCCAGCTGCCTTGCCCCACCCTCCAGCCCAAGGAGCCTCTCCCAGACGATGACTTTAAGAACAGCAGAAGCAGCTGGGAAGAGAGAGAGGAGGAGTTCAGGGTTTGGAAAAAAACATTAATTTTGCAAGTTATGTCTCTTTCTCAATTTCATCCTTTAACGTGGTTTGCCTGTATTGTGGTTTTATTTATTGCATTATTTTTATTGCTGTTATTTACATTGCATATCATTTAGTAATTAATTGTTGTAATTGTTAAGAGGGATTTTATTTATAATTATTATTTGCTGATATTTGTTTTTTGTGTACTACAGTGGTACCTCGGCTTTCAAATGTCTCCGAAGTTGAACGTTTCAGTTTTCGAATGCCGGAGACCCAGAAGTAACTGCTTCGGTTTATGAACGCTTTTCGGAAGTCGAACATGCCACGCGGCTTCCGTATTGACTTTTCCGTAAGTAAATGCTTCCAGAAGAAAACGCTTCAGTTTTTGAACGTTTCGGAAGCCGAACGGTCTTCTGGAACGGATTACGTTCGGAAACCAAGGTACCACTGAATTATATCCTAATGGATTATTGAATATTACTTTGATATAAATTGTTAAAGTTATGTTGTTGTTGTTATTATTATTATTATTATTATTATTATTATTTGCATTGGATCATGTTGTTGTAAGGTGTGTGATGGTTGTATATTTTGTCGTTTCTTCAGCTTGTAAACCACATGACCCTGAAAGCTGTCTGTAGACAAATGCTGGCTCCCTTGGCCTGAAAGCGAGATGAGCACTGCAACCTCATAGTCACCTTTGAATGGACTTAACCATCCAGGGGTCCTTTACCTTTTTTAGTAATATAGAAAGGTTGTATACAAATTAAAAGTGAAATGAAATGAGTTGCAGCCCTTCCTCTAAAGGGAAAAAAATGAGGTTCTAGTCCTCAGTGTTATAAACGAAGTGCTGAATTAAATAGGAACATAGAAGGCTCTCATATATCAGTCTGAACATTGGTCCATTCAGGCCAGTATCGTCTGCACTGACTGGCAGCTGCTGTCCGGGATTTTAGGCAGGTGATATTCCCAGCCCCACCTGCAGATGTAGGGGATTGAACCTGTGAACCTTCTGCCTGCAAAGGAGATTCTCCAAGCACCAAGCTAAGGCCCTTCCCCACTAAAATACGAAACCCTCCTTCTTTCAGAAACTGCCCCCCTGTGCCCGGCCCACCTGGAAGACATCCCTGTAAGCAGCCAGGCCTCTGGAGCGTGACAGGGACCAAGCAGCCCCTCTCGTTGGACTTTTAACAAGCAGACGAGAAAAGGAGACCAATCAATCATATTTAAACAAAAGCCTCTCCGGCCCAAGGGTCTTTTTAAAAGCTGCTTATTTAATTAAAAGTCCCATTTTCCATATTTATGGCTCTTGATTCAGTTAAATATTAACCGCCTGGGCCAGGGCGGGTTTATTCTTCGCAGAGAAGGTTCATTACAGGCGCACACATTCATCAGAGAGAGCCCACCCACTCTGACTTGGTAGTGCCAGTCTGCGAGTGGACGTGTTCCCTTCTAATGTGCCCAGGCGCACACAGGTGCCAGGCAGGAACCAAAAGCATTGGGGGATTTTAAGGGGGCATATGTTGTATTAGTGGCATTAAAAAAATAATAACAATGCCCCACACCCCTTTGCCAAAAAGATTCTCAGGGAGCCAGTGTGGTGTAGTGGTTAAGAGCGGTAGACTCGTAATCTGGTGAACCGGGTTCGCTTCTCCGCTCCTCCACATGCAGCTGCTGGGTGACCTTGGGCTAGTCACACTTCTCTGAAGTCTCTCAGCCTCACTCACCTCACAGAGTGTTTATTGTGGGGGAGGAAGGGAAAGGAGATTGTTAGCCGCTTTGAGACTCCTTCAGGTAGTGATAAAGCGGGATATCAAATCCAAACTCTTCTTAACACACACACACACACACAGTGTGTAAATAAGGGTCCGGCCCTTTGGGCCAACATTTAAAAGCACATGACACACAAGGTAAAGGAAAGAGGAGGGAGGAGGAAAGGGTTGCCAATGAAGGAGCTGGATATCAAGGGCAACCAAAGAACAGCGGGGTTGCCCAAAATCCAGGCATCCTATTTACTACCGTATTTTTCGCTCTATAAGATGCACCAGACCACAAGACGCACCTAGTTTTTGGAGGAGGAAAACAAGAGAAAAAAAGTTCTGAATCTCAGAAGCCAGAACAGCAAGAGGGATCGCTGCACAGTGAATGCAGCAATCCCTCTTGCTGTTCTGGCTTCTGGGATAGCTGCACAGCCTGCATTCGCTCCATAAGACGCACACACATTTCCCCTTACTTTTTAGGAGGGAAAAAGTGAGTCTTGTAGAGCAAAAAATACGGTAAATTTCCTTCAGCAGCTTATTTTCCCACACTTAAGCTCACTTCACCACATTTCCAAAGCAGTTTGCAATTTTTAAAATATATAAAAACAGTCCTTTTGAAAAATCATCAGCACTGTAGCGTTCACTATGCTGAAAATAGGCCTTTTTTGTTTGTGGTTTCTGCCTAATGCACACTTTGCAAAATTGCAAAGCAGTTTTCCCAATGCAATGAATTTTTGCATTTCGTTTCTCACAAACGCACACCTTTTTACTCACACTTTTGAACCCATGCAGCTTCGCACACATTACTTAGCAGGAGGAACTTCCTTGCAGAATTTGGAGAAAGACAAATTTTGAAGGTGGGCTGCGGTTTCCCTTTGCTCTGGAATGTGCAAATCAGGCAGGCTTGCCTTTGAATGCAAACCGGATCTAATTTCTGCCCCCATCCCTAACCAAGGACAATCCCTGTTTCCTGGTCCCTGCCCCTGATGAAACAATGTCTTTATTTTGTCCCTGGGGAAGATATATATGGGATGCCCTTTAAACAGGTTGGCCGCTGATGCCTCACTAAGTAAAAGGAGACCAGTTTGCACACAAGCTGCACAAAATCTAATGTATATGTGTTGTAGAAAAATTGGGGGGATGGCTTTTGCTGCCCAACTCACCAAGGGACTCTGAGTCCCCTAAGTCCATGATTGGTCAGAGAAGAATAAATGGAGGCAGGATCCAGAAAAAGCAAGGCAGGTCTTTATTTTTCTGTTGCAAAACAGAGTTCCCACCCTCCACCCCCACCTTGCAAGTCTCTTTAAAAACTTTAGACATTGCCCAACCCCTTAACCAAAGACCACCCTAAAAGCATCATACATACACCACAGAAATAGGCAGTCTATCACAGAAATTTGAGAGTGTAGCTTCTCTCCTGTCTGCCAAGATCCCTGATAATGTTTTACTGATTGCATTACCTGGGCAGCCTGGCCATTCTTTTGAGATGGCAAATACATTGGTTCTTGAATCCAGGTCACACGCATACCCTATTCACACACAAAATATGCCCTTAAGACAGAATTTGTAGGGTTTGTAAGGGAAAGAACTATTGGGAAAGGGGTCTCCAAGATATCTCCTTCTGTAGAGGAAATATTTAGAGTAATTAAGAGAGGTCACAAATGGGATCATTCTATGTGCTAAAACAATGTGTAATTTTCTCAGGGAACATTTCCTAAATTTTGAAGGGTGAAGGATTGGTTTTCTGTGGAATGTGCTATGTGGGTGTGCCCAAAAGTTTTAGAGCGTAAGTATAGATGCAAATTTAGAAATAATGGCTGGGGCAGGCAATAAAAACATGGAATATCTCCCCATCGTGGAGAAGATGATGACCTGTGTGCCTGATCTCCCTGCTATAAAGGTGCTACCTGTGGGTGGGCAACTTCAAACCCTGCCTGCTCCCGTTTCTAATGGCATTTTATAAATCTTTCTTCTTCTTCTTTGGTGATCACTCGTAGCTGAGTAAGATTGTCTTCCATAAACAGGGTTTAACAGTGAGTCCATAAGTGTCTGTGGAGGCCAATTCTGGATCCACATATCCTTCCCAGTGGGGCATAGGTTTCCGGGTGGGAGTTGATCATGGTGTGGATTTGCCAAGCATGCCTTCCTCTTAGCACACTTCTCCCTTGCGTCCTGAGTTGGAGTGTCTTCAAAGCCCATGACACCTATGGTAAAGGCTGTTCTCCAGCTGGAGCACTCACAGGCCAGTGTTTCCCAATTGTTGGTGTTTATACATTTTTAAAGATTTGCCTTTAGAGGGTCTTTAAACCTCTTTTGTTGACCACCAGCATTACGGCTTTCCATTTTAAAGTTTGGAATAGAGTAGTTGCTTTGGAAGACAAGAACCAGGCATCCGAACAACATGACCAGTCCAACGAAGTTGATCTTTAATGATCTTTAATCCACACTATGCATCCAAAGCAGAATCGTGACACTTTAAACATGGCTTCTCCCAAAACAGCCTAGGAACTGTAGTTTGGCAAGGGTGCTGAGAATTGTGAGGAGCCCCCTGTTCCCCTCACAGAGCTACAATTCCCAGAGTGGTTTAACAATCAATCCCTCTTCCCAGGGAACTATGGGAATTTTACCTCTGTGATTGGAATGGGGGGGGGTGCCTGCTAACAACTGTCAGCACCCTTAATGAACTAAATCTCCCAGAATCCTTTGGGGGAAGCCATGACTGTTAAAGTGATATCATAGCACTTTAAATGCAAGCTGTGAATGGGGCCATAGACCTCCTGGTCAAAGGATTATTATGATTATTTTGCAGGTGTAGCCTGAAACATGTCATTGGTGCAATAAGAGTGCCTCAGTGTGAATTTATGCCAGGCTTGCTGCACGTTCTTCTGCCATGCTTCTCCAGCGTTACCACATTCTTGCTGTCTGGAGTGACACCCTGCTGCCCCAGTGCAACAAGAGAAGGGCAGTGTTGCATAGTGGTTAAGAGCGTCAGGCTAGGGCCTAGGAGAGCAGGGGTCAAATCCCTGCTCAGCCACAAAACTCACTGTGTGGCCTTAGCCTAGTCATAGTCTCTCAGTCTAAGCTTACCTCTCAGGTTCGTCATAAGGATTTAAAAGGGGAGGAAGAGGAGAGCTCCCTGAGCAACGCTCCTTGAGCAACTTGGAGGAATGGCAGGATATCAATTGTCATCAATAATAACTGGAACATTTGTGGTATTAAAAAGTTACTGGATTTCAGCAAGAAGCAATGGGGTGTGCAAACTTTTGCGGGCACCAACGGTGTTGAAAGCAGGTCCGTGTGTGAGCGGCAAGAGTATTGTTGGCTCAGAAATGGAAGCAAGAAGAAATACCAACGAAAGAAGAATGGCAGACAAAATTAATGGACTATGCAGAATTGGATAAAATGACAGGAAGGATTCGAAACCTGCGGGACCAGAGATTTACAGAAGATGGGAAGAAATATACGAATTATTTGAAGAGCAACTGTAATCAACAAATTACGCTAGTAGGACTTCAAGAAGTTTTGTAAGGAGAAATATATGAAATATTGCAAAGAGGAGAAAGTTATTAGTTATATTAGTTATGAGATTTAATTGTAATAGTGAAAATAAGAAATGAAAATTAAGAGAATAGATTGGAAAGTTTTCAGATGTGATTGATGGAAGTAAAAAAAAATTGTATAAGATGTAAAAGTACGTTTATTGTTGAAAATGATACGTTGAAAAATTAATTTAAAAATTATATAGAAAAGAAAAGAAAGCAGGTTCGTGTGTGACTGCCGCAAGCACAAATCATCACAAATGAAGGACATCTGGAGGACATCACAAATGAAGGACAACCTTCCTCAGTACAGTGAGTTGAACTGTATTTCTATTTAAATTTGGGGGAGTTTTTTTCCTAAATTTGCATCTAGAGGAAAAAATTAGCACATGCAAGTCTGTGCATCCTTCTTTGGTGAGGCATAACTGGGCACCCACTGCTGGTTCACTGATGTAAGAGGCGTTCTGCAGAAGGCATTTTGCTCTGGGCTTCCTCAAACCAAAGGCATGAGCATGCAGAGAAACTTATGAAGTTGCAGAACCAGAGTGGCGGCCGCATCTTCTTGCAGGACATCAAAAAACCAGATCGTGATGATTGGGAGAGTGGATTGACAGCAATGGAGTGTGCTTTGCACTTGGAAAAGAATGCAATGAGGTGTCAGACTAAATCAAAGTGAGGGACTGACTGGTCTTTCTCCTAGAGGAGACTGCTCTTTTGCTCTGAGGTCTTTCTCCTATACAGAGACTACTCTTTTGCAAATTTAAAGCACATTCCACACACACATACACCCCCCAAAAACCATGGGAACTATAGTTTACCCCTCACGGAGCAGCAATTGCCAGGACCTTTAACAAAACTACAGTTCCCTTGAGTCCTTGAAATGTGTGTGTTTTATGACTTGGTGTACAAGGAACAGCTCTGCTCCTTGCTGAAAATATGTTTTCCCTTTTGAAACAGAGCCACGTAAGAGGCCTGTGGCACGCACCTTGCTCCTATAGCCCCAGATTTCTCCCGGGTCTCATAGCCATGGGTGACAGGAACTAGGTCTAGAACCTGTAGCCTCCCGACCTCCTCCCCCCCCCAAAAAAAACCCCCAGCCCGATTCCAGGGAGATTCGCAGGAACAACTGTGCTTGTGCTATCATCGCTGGTGCGTGCACACACAAAATCCATGTCTCATTTTCATATCTAGTGAAATGAAATGACACCAGACCACACAGTCAAGCCCCAAAGGGGAGAAGCGTGTGTGTGTGTGTGTGTGTGTGTGTGTGTAAGAGGAGGGGTGATGATGGAGGCTAGAGCAGGTAATGAAATAGAGCTGGTAATTTTCTCCTGGGATGCAGGGGTTTGCAAAGGGGGGGGGCGGCGGATTGGTGCGGGGAGGAGTTGAAGGGGGTGGGAGACAGTGAAAACCACAGGGATGGTGGAGAGGAGGAGAGAGACACCAGGTTATCAGAGAAGTGTGAAGACAATAATGCAATCTGACATTTCTGAAATGAGACCCCCTGGTTGCCCTGGCAACAGCTCACGTGGGAGCCGTTCCCAGGAGACGGCTGCGAGATGTACTATAAATGATGTTTGATTAGAATTTAAATCATTTAGGTGGAGAGAAGATAGGCCTTTTGTCAGCAAGGGGGCCTTTGGGGGGGAGAAGGGGGGGTCAGCTGCTCAAGCAGCTGGACTCAAGTGTATTAGCCCGGGCATGTGTAACGCCGAGGAAGGGGTGAAGGGTCGCCCGGCGGGTTGATTACTTCTGGCCTGCCTTGCCTGCCATTTCCAGCGACCTCTCCATTCCGGGCGATGGTTCCATCTGGGGCTATGGCGGGGGAGAGGCTGTGAATATCTTGGGGTGAAGGACCGCAAGCCCATACATGGGAATGCATGAGCACACACGAAGGGCCTGCGAGATCAGGCCAACAGCCCATATGTCCCAGCATCCAGCTTTCATGGTGAAGAAGAAGAAGAGTTTGGATTTGATATCCCGCTTTATCACTACCCTAAGGAGTCTCAAAGCGGCTAACAGTCTCCTTTCCCTTCCTCCCCCACAACAAACACTCTGTGAGGTGAGTGAGGCTGAGAGACTTCAGAGAAGTGTGACTGGCCCAAGGTCACCCATGTGCATGTGGAGGAGCGGAGACGTGAACCCGGTTCCCCAGATTACGAGACTACCGCTCTTAACCACTACACCACACTGGCTCTGGCCAGCCCCATGCACCCTTGAGCGAGACTTTGTGGGTTGCCCTGCCTTCACCCTCCTAGAATGCCTCTACATGAGAAGATTCCTCCTGGATCCAGCCAATGGTCCATCTATTCCAGCATCCTGTTCTCACAGTGGACAAACTGATGCTGAAGAGCCCTCTCCCTGGTTTTCTCCTGAATACCAGTATTGCTGCCTCCAACTGTGGCTACTATGTTTTTATATGTGTTGGGCAGCTTCCAACACATATAAAAACATAATAGAGTGGTACCTCTTACGAACTTAATTCGTTCCGGAGGTCCGTTCTTAACCTGAGGTGCCACTTTAGCTAATGGGGCCTCCCACTGCTGCTGCCATGCCGCCGCCGCACAATTTCTGTTCTCATCCTGAGGTAAAGTTCTTAACCCAAGGTACTACTTCCGGGTTAGCGGAGTCTGTAACCCGAAGTGTTTTTAACCTGAGGTACCACTGTAAAACACAAAACGTTAAAAGAAACTTCCCTGTACAGGGCTGCCTTCAGATGTCTTCTAAAAGTTGTATAGTTACCGGTACTTATCTCCTCGGAGAAGAGAGTTACTAAAGGTTGTATAGTCACATAACTCCATACCCTCCAACTTTTCTTGGATGAAAATAGGGACATCCAGTGCTTTTTTGTCTTAAAAAAAAATGTTAAGGGGTACTCTCATTTTGACTCAAGAAAATCACCATTTTATAGTTCAAATCAGGAAAAATAAATACAGTAAATGGACAAAAGTACAAAGATTCACAAAATGTTTGGGGTATGCGTATGCCTGCATCTAATTAGAAACTGGGACAGCTTCTGTAAATCAAGGACACTTGGAGGATCTGCATACTGGACAACAAAGGTGTTGTCCAGCTGTGGATTTTGGAGTTTAAACCTCGGGGGGGGGGATCAAACCCTGATCCAGATTCAAAGGTAGTCTAAACCATTAGACTTGAACCATTTCAGACCAAGGACCTGCCTTAAACCCAGTTATGTATTTGGGAACTCATTCCTTATTCTTTCCCCCTATACAGTGGAGCCTTGGTTGTTGAACGTAATCCGTTCTGGAAGACCATTTGGCTTCCGAAACTTTTGACAACCGAGGCGCAATGGTCGGTTGGCAAAGTCCATTGAGAAAATGGAGAAATGTGCCCCTGAAGCTGTTTGACTTCTGAGGTGCGTTTGAAAATGGAAGAATTCACTTCCGAGTTTTCAGCATTTGGGTTCGAAATCGTTTGGCTTCTGAGACGCTCAAAAACCAAGGTTCCACTGTATCTGCTTGGTGGTAGTGCTCCTGTTGTGACCCACTTTGGATCAGGCCGTGACCCAGGAGAGGATTCTGACCTACTAGTTGAAGACCAGTGGTCTCAACTAGCAAACTTCCACTGGAGCCTCTTTCACTGATCTACCAGGACACACAATCCAAACAGTGAAACAGAGAGCCGAACACTGGAGGTTTATTGTTTGCTAGCCAAGAACCCAGTTTCTTGATTATGTGAACCAGCAAACAAACCCAAAAATCTGAACTTCAGGGACATATATTTACCCACAGCACCAAAAGCAGGTTGAGAAATGAGCTGAAACAAGACGAGAAGTTTGTCGAAATGGTCTGATTCATGTTTGATTTTTTGAATGAAGTTTTGCATCAGCAGAAACAGTGCGTAAGGTTTCTCCACATGGTCAGTTTCAGTTCTCCTACAAGTGGTGTGTGTGTGTGTCTTTCAAAATATGAAATATGAAATTTGAAATGCCTCTCAAAATATTTCCTTATCCCTCATCCGGATTTTTTTAAATTAACTACCTAAACTTTAGAGTTTTTTAAACAGAGGTTACCAGGGATTATTTAGCTGTGATTCCTGCATTGAAGGGAATTAGACTAGATGGCTCTTAGGGGTTCCCTTCCAACTTTATGACTCTTCCAAGTTTTGCTCTTGTAATTTATCTTGGCGAGGTTAGGTGGTGAGATTTAAGGCAACAATATTTAACATATTCAGTTGCACAAGATTCAGTTCTTTTCCTAAAACTGTTAAACCCAATGATACCTATAATAGGAATATCAAAAACTTTCAGTGAAAGAATGTGTTATATACAGCATCAATTTTTATGCAAACGCATTCAAATAAGATTTTTCGTTTGAGATTTTTGTCATTCAGATGTATTTGAGGTATAAAAGCAGCCTTCAGGCAAAAACGGATCTGCAAAATTTCCCCCCACAGAAATGAAAAATATTCTGATCCTTCTTACCTGTCACCTTCCTCTCTGGTTTCCTTTACTGTATACATTTGGATTGTAAGC